GGCCCAATCGGATCCGTCGTAGGTCAAGCAGTAGTGGTGCCAGTCGCCGTCTGTCGCGTCGCTCGTCAGCACCGCCCCCGAGCCATACAATTCGACGTACACGCTCGAGTCACCCGCAGTGCGAATTGCAAACGCTTGGTCCGGCGCGGAGGACCCATATTCGAAAAGGCCACCGTCATTGAACGCATCGATCATCGCCCACAAGCACACGGTCCGCGGGTCGCTCCCGAGGATGTCCGTCGTCACGGCCGAAGGAAACTCGACGTAGTCGTCCTCGCCGTCGAACGACAGCGCGCCGCTCCCGTACTGACCCGTCGTCGCCGTGGCGCCGTGGATGGTGCCGTCGAGGCCGCCGAGGTCGTCGGCGGCCGTGCCGTCGTCGAAGGAGTAGTACGCGACCAGCGTGTCCTGGAAGTAGAGGGCCTGGACCTCGCTCTCCGACAGCGCGCTCGAGTAGACGTAGAGCTCGTCGACGCTACCCGTCAGGTACGATTCGCCGTCTCGCACGCCGATCGTGAGGATGTTCTCGCTGCCCGTGGCGAGCGATGCCGTCGCCGTGTGAGCGACCGCGCCGTCGACGTAGAACGACCACTCCGCGCCGTCGTAGACGAGGCAGTAGAAGTGCCAGCCGTCGTCGTCGGACCATCCGCTCGCGGACACGTCGGTGTCGTAGTCGCTCCCGTAGAGCTGCACGATGAACCCTCCCGCGCTGGCCGCCGTCATCAGCGCGAATTCTTCGCCGTCCGCGTAGTCTCCGAACGTGAAGAGCGCGGCGTCGTTGAAGGACGAGATGGCCGCCCAGAGGCACACGGTCCGCGCGTTGCTCCCGAGGATGCCCGACGTCAGCGCGTCCGGGAACTTCACGTAGTCGTTGCTCCCGTCGAAGGACAGCGCGCCGCTGCCGTCGGGGCCCGTCGACGCCGTCGCGCCGCTGACGATCCCGTCGAGGCTTCCGTCGCCGTCGTCGGCGGCCGTGCCGTCGTCGAAGGAGTAGTACGCGACCAAGGTCGCCGTGGCGCGGCTCGTCGCCGCGAGGCAGACCGCGACGAGGCGCGGCGCCCAGCCCCGCCTGGAGAGCATCATCTCATCACGATCGATAAAAGTTCTATAGATGCTGATGTCAATGATGACTGCAGCATTATGAGTTGACGACATCGCCCCAGATCGCGGGCGCCTCGACGGGGACGGCGACGGGCACCTTGGCGACCTGGGCGGTCGCGACCTGCTCGGGCGTCGCGACCTGCTGGGGCGCGACCCGCGCGCGCGCGTTCCGGTTCGCGGCGTTCGGGGTCCACTTTGCCCTCGAGCCTCTGCGCAGGCCCGTGTGTGCGCGAGCGAGCATGGCACTTACGGCCGCGCGCGCGCGGCGGCGTACAGCGCCGTGAAGAGCAGCAGGCCCTCGTGCAGGTTCGCTCGCGCGCCCGTGTCCAGAGAGGAGGAGCAGTACGCGTCCCCGGCGTCCTCCCGCGTGCCGCTCTCGGCGGCGCTCAGGCAAAGCTCGTAGGAACACGTCGGCGTCAACGCGGCGTCGCAGCTGTCGCAGGGCTGCATCTCGTAGAGGGACCCGCACGACGACTCGCGGCCGAGCGTCTGCGCGTCGTACGAGCTTTCGTCGTCGCGCCAGTCCGCGCCGACGGAGAAGGGGTTCGCGACGGTGAGCGCCGAGATCCACTCGTCATCCTCGGCGGCCGCGGTGCCGACGGGGCAGGGCAAGCTCTCGCGGAGCGCGTTCGTCGCGGCGGCCGTGAGCTCGAT